GTCTTGTTTATTTGAGCAGACATACTTAGCGTTGAATCAAACCACGCCACGCGCCTAAGTTTCCTACGCACGATTTAGAATTGACTACTTCATTACCTACAGTAATTCTGTCGATGTTAACTTTTGAAAGTTGCTGCTTAGTTCCAATTAATAGAAACTATTCCCCGATATTCACTTCGCTTTCGGCGAATAATTTTTAAATATTAAACTTTTTTCTTTCAACAACGTCAATATTTTGTGGTATTGCCGTTTACAAATTACAATTAGTTTTGTATCACGATTTTACTATTTTTCCATCCAAAAGCTAAAGGAAAAAGCAAAGGGAAGTGATCCTGATTTGCTTCAGATTCTCCCTACCTCACAGTCGTCTCTCTAGCGGCAGTTTCTGGGAAATGATGGGCGTTTTTAAAAACTTTGTTTTCATTAAAACTCCAAATTCATTTTATTAAAATTAGATTAAATAGATTAAAATAATTTTATTGCTTGAACTTTTTACCGATATGTTTTTTTTTTTATTTATACTTTATCATTTACATCCTAATACTTTGGAAATTTGTTCGTCAAGTGTTCGCTCTAGCAAGTTTGACATTTTCGTGTTTACGAAACCGAAGTAAGCTCATTTGAAAAAAATGAGGTTATTATGAATGATTTAAAAAAATTCTGGGGAAAAATTTATCATTCTAATTAGAAACACATATCGTTGATAGAAGAATGACTGATTCTACGATTTCTTTGTCATTCAAACAAGTTGAAAGTTTTAATAAATCGAACTTTCTTCGAAGCGTAAGCTTGAAATAATTTTTCTTTCGAACCATTGCCATTCAGAAAACAGACTTCGATGCCAAAAAAAGTGCTTGTTTCGCCGTCAATTAAACGCTATGAGCCAATCGCGCGCGGTAATTCTGAGACGACAATGACACGTTATATTGATTGCTCTCTCTGAATCGAGCTTATGAAAAAAATCGCGATACTTAGTCGTGTATTGGTTGGGTTGGGTTGGGTTGGGTTGGGTTGGGTTGGGTTGGGTTGGGATTATACAGCTTCTCATTAATCCCATATAGGTAANGGTTGGGTTGGGTTGGGTTGGGTTGGGTTGGGTTGGGTTGGGTTGGTCCTCATTCACATCCTTATTCCTATTTTTTCCTAGAATCTCACAGTGCAATAATGGCGACATCTGTTGGTGTTCTGTTGGACGTTTCGGGATCAATGAAAGCCACTATTGGTGAGAGGCCTAACCAGAACGACCAGAATCAGCAAAAAAGTAGTTGGGCGCGCTCTATTTTCAAAGTAGTTGACGGGCTTATTAAGCATGATGTTTCATCAACCAATCATGTGTTTGCACTAGCATTTGGAGCAGATAAAGAACCTGAATCCTTCGATCTTCTTAGTACCGTTGCTGAAAATACGAAGCACCTAGCATATGAAAACAAAACGAAAGATGAGATAGTCGAGCTTGTTCAGGAAATACTATCCGTATTAGAACAAAATGGTGCAGCTAGAGTTCGTACATGGGCTAACATGAATGTTCTCCTTGATGTGATCGATCCAACTGTAGCTTTCTCATTCTTTGACCAACTAAGGCGTAACCGTATTTTCAAAGAAAGATTTGTGGCGGAATGTCTACCTGAATCATGCCGAAATGTGGTATACCATCCAACCAATCTTGCTATGGAAGTATTAAATTATGGAGCGGCGAATATCATCCCTGAAGCTCAAGAATATGCAACGAGGGGAAGTGTCGAGGAGGTAGTAGCCAAAGGGAAAGAACTACTATCGGAGGTCTTAGTACTAGAATTGAAGCCTATTGGCCAAGAAGCAATCATGGACGTACATCAAGCATCAGATATCTTGCATGGTGGAATAGGTGAAGAAAAGCTTACCAATAAACGAGTAGACGAACTAATGGACGCTGTTGAACCACTTATTTATGGAGGTACGCCGTTAATGAGAACCATTAAAGAAGCAAAAAAGTTATTTGAAACGGGAAGGTTTAAGGATTACACCAAGTTGATGTTCATCATATCCGATGGACAGCCAGGCGATGGAAGCGATCCTCCGATGAACGAGTTTGCTCAGTTGGGCGTTACCACAGTTTGCTGTTACATAACAAACGATGCAATCCCTGATCCAAAACGTCTTTACAGTACTCAGTGCGAAACATGGGATAAACATCAAAGCTAATGTTCCAAATGAGTTCAACCATAACTACACAGATGATCCCTCGCACTATATTTGTCAAGCGTGGTTGAAGTATTGACATCACGAACAACGAAACCCGTCTATTTGTTCAAGTGAATCACCCTGATATCATCGAAGATGTCTGTGATCTTGCCAGGGATGTAGTGTGTTGTCAAGATGCGTTGTCAGATATATTGACAACAGTGTCTTTAGATCTGTATATCAATCAAGCAAACAAGGGATTTGCTCCGAAAAGACAGAAAGGTGGCACATGTTACGCAAATGCTTCAGCTGCTGTTCTGCATCTTGCGATGCAACGGATCGTTGGAAGAGACGGTGGTTATCCTGACTTCTTTGATCTGCGAAAGAAAATGATAACGAAGTACGGGGAACATGGCGCCAACACACTTAAAGTGCTTCGAGAGATCTGTCCTGAATACCGCCTTCACTGCCAAGAGGTTGACGTTCTGGGAGCAATGAAAGCAATTGCCGCCAAACGACCTGTCTTGGCACGGTTCTGGCTGACTGACCCTGAGTGGGACATGTTTTCAGATTTCTATGAACAAAATCCACAAGGTGTTCTCACGAGTGCTAATCTGGATATCAAACAAAGGCAACCAGGAGCAAAACTGGGCGGTCATGCTGTGGTGCTTACTAGCTTTAACAGTGAATGTTTAAGGCTGATGAATTCCTGGGGCAGCGATTGGGCTGATGGCGGCTTCTTCAAGGTTAGTAATGCAGATGTACTTGGCTTCGAATTTGTGGATGTCTTCTGGACATTGAACGACCTGAAGAAGTCAGAAATTGATGCATACAAGTGTGAGGGTGCCAAAAAAGCAAAAGAAATGTTTTCAAAGCTGCAAGGACTGCAGACAATTCAATATATCTGCCCTTTGTGTTATCAGAGTTCCAAAGTCAGCGATTTCATGGGTCATCATTTGGAAGCTAAGTGTCCAAAATGCAAACAAGCATTTAAGATCAGAGATGCGGGTGATGACTTGGCTTTAAACATGTACCTGTTATCGCTGTCAGCTAAAGGCGATTAAGATGATGATAATGATAATGGTGATGGTGATAATGATAATGATGATRATGATGATGATGATGATGGTGATAATGATGATGATGAGGATGATGATGAGGATGGTGGTGGTGATGATTTGCATGTTGATTTTGGTTTTGTTTATGGTGATCATGGCGTTGATGATGATGATGATGATATTAATCTGTTCATTTGATATGGGGGACTCTGTTCGAAAGTAGCAAAACATGCAAAATTCTATTATTACCATTATATTCAGCACTACTAGAACGTTTAACATTATTGTATGAATGTCAAAGGTATTGATTTTAGGATATTTAATTTTCAAGATTTAAAGTCATTATTAGAATTTTTAAGATTATTGCATATGATTATCAGGGACATAGGTATTAGCTTTTTTCTAGTCAAGATGAATAGACATCTTGGTTGTTTATAATTATTCATTTAACCATTTATAGRCAACTTTAATAGGAGCTTCTGATTTACTATGTTAATTGTAAATAGTTTTAGTAATTTAGGATTCTAGATATAAATGTTTGTAAATTAGTTAAGGTTATCATGATAGTACCATGGGTTACGCATGGCGCCATATATTGGCTGGGTTTTTATGTGCATTTTGAAGTTTAATAAACTGCACAATATTCATTTCTGGCATGGAATTTGCCGGGTTCAGGCCTCTGTTTCTGCTCTTGCTTTACATTGACACAAGCAATTGCAAGTAGGAATTGCTTTTTGGCTCCTCAAAAGCGGAAGTGTACATTAGAAGTATGGGACAGCTCTGTGCACTCCTTCTGCCTTCCTTTTCCTTCCCTGCCCCGGTCCCTGCCCCCATTCCACTCCACCCACACCGACACCGGAACCGATACCCAACCTCAACTAGCCATGTCACGTTAGTTAGTGATAGGGACTGAAAGGTTGCACCAAGATACTGTTTGACCTTGCCTTGTTCTGAAAGCAGACCATTACCTGGCGTAAAATATATTCTTCGAGATTCATTGCAGCCAATCCATTTCTTGTATTGAAAGCCAGGCCAACTTGTGCTTTACGCAAAAGTTCAACATCTCATACACAGTTAAAGCTCGGGAGAGACCAACCAAAGTCGATATGGAAAGCTAACGAATGTTTTTTTCTTTCTTTAATGCCTTCATCAGCTTTGCAACCTAAAACAAACAAACTAACGAACGGACGGACGGACGGACGGACGGACGAACGAACAAACGAACGAACAAAAGGATCAATTCATGAAGGAAAAAAAAAAACATACTGCACTTGACTGGACAGCTGGTTTCCGTACAAAGGTAAGTCAGCAAAGAGGCTAAGCCTTAAAGTTTAGAATCAGGCGGTCTTTATTTATTTCGCTATTTTCATTGCTTATCCAAATCATACTCGGCTTGAAAGCTGTCAGACGAAATCCCAGGAAATGATGTAAATAACCTTTTGAAAATCCAAGAAGGGAAACAACAAGGCGACGAAAATCTCTATTTCCAATATATATTTATCTTACTGCAAGGTCTACTAGTTCTAGATTATAGAATATATAATAATACTCAGATATCTTGAATAGGGTATGTAATTCCAAGATTTTCTCTATTATGTTTATTTTAGATATCTTAGCAGTACATCCCTATTACAGCCATTTCAACTACACTGCGCCCTCCCAAGCGCGAAAATTAGTTTTGGCCCCATACCACCGTCTACATAAATTCTACTTCAACCAATTTAAACACGGCAATAAACTGCTCCATTTAACCAAATTTAATTAAATTTTAGTTTTTACTAGTGATTTGAAATGATTTTTCATTTGGCAATAAGAATCATCCAATCAGAAAAGAGACGGTGCGATCAACTGCTTATAAAACAGGAAAGGCTTTTCTTTATTCAATCGTAAGGGAGAGTGAAGAGAACCGGCCAGGGTTTTATATCTTGCTTAACCGTCTCTAATAAAAATTGCGAAAACGTACCATCTTTATTATGAAGAATGGCCAGCAAATCGCCTTCATCACTTTGCTCTTCTTTGTCCTACTTAACGCTCGTGATGTGAGTCGCCAAAGGTACACATTTATATTGTAGCAATGCTCCTTATTAATTTAAGATTTGTTTTAATATATTTCTTTTMATTTTTTTTTTCAAATGTGAAGAGAAAGACTTGAAAATCATTTTTCTACTGGGAATGGTTCTTTTCCAGACCAGAGAGGAAACGAAGTGTCTTCATCAATTGGGTCCAAAAACCAGTTTGAAAATCTCAATCAGATTCAACCTGCTGAGAGGAAAAACATGTTTTTGAAGACGTTCAATAAAAGAAGCCCGATTGGATGTAATCAAAGTCGCAGTTTTGGCTGAGATGGATACACGTTGTTAAAGAAAAAGTCAAAGAAAGAAAAAAAAAAGAAAGAATCCAATGTATTTGTAACTTTTAATAACCCACAACAATTTAGAGACTATTAATGCTAACTTGAGACTACTCAAATAGATTTGTATGTGCAAAATTAAATTCCATTAAATGAAAAGTTGAGTTAAATATTTCTTGGGGAGGGGTAATGATTCTAGGATAAACTAGATATTTTTGGTTCAAAATTTGATTTTTTAGTATTGAGATTGATTTAAAAAATAATGAATCAAACCTCTCTCTATTGGTGATAAATTAAACATAACATAACGCATAACATTAAGAAAAGCAGGCTTTTTTTTTGCCAAAATAGAAAACCAGCAAGCAAGCGAACAGATTCAAAAATTTTATGTGTGAGTTTACACAGTGCGAAATTACAGATTTCCGAAATCGGAAATATTGTCGGAAATTTGATAGTTTGGAATTTCCGTCAAATTTACGGGTACGGAAATCCACTTTTCTGAAAGCCAGTCCTCCTTCACATTTCCGTTAAGCGTTTAAAGGAAACAACGCCGTATACACATTGCTACATGTTTCCGTTCCATTTAAGGCACACGGAAATTGAATATAATTGTGAACACTTAGAAAAAATGTAACAGTTAAATGTAAATATAAAATATGCATGGATCGATATCGTGCAAGAAAATGCAGAAGGTCTACGAAGGATCTATGTAAGATCTAATCAGCTAAAGTGAAAATCATAAAATAATTTGAATAACTGAATCATACTAGGCAGAAACTAAAACGGCTTGCCAAAAAGCCATGCAGAAATAGCCAGTATTTGGTGAACAGCAGCG